GTAGGCAGCCAATCACAACGTAGGATGTGCACCCCACCTCCCGCGCAGCCATTGGCGGACATCCTTTATTCTGCTCTGAGTAAAGCCAATCAAAATGAGGACGTGGAGTTCACTTCACTGAAAATATTGGTGACATTGCTTGACCTCCAAATTTGTTTCCAAACCATTTTTTCCCCCTGTAGGAAGTAATATAAATTCATAAATGTGTTCCAGATTTAAATTGTCCGCTTTTTTTTGTGCATAGGCCAGGTTTGAAACAACATTTGAACATATCTAACTGTCAAGTGCAACAACATGGTGACCTCTGTGTTTTAAAATAAATTAAAGCTACTTACCCAATGATGAATGAAATGGAGATGGAACAGGAAAGTGTTTGCAGCGCGATAGTGTCACCTAGTGGTGTTTTTAAGAACTTCTGAAAAAAAAATGCTCAAATTGTTTGCCCAATGGCATAGTTGCCTAAATTGTATTTTTTTTTTTTTTTTTTAACAAAATGACAAAAAAAATCTGAACATAGGCCTTTCTTCCTCACGCAGATTATGATTGGCTGATGTGATAAACCGCCACAGTGTAGCGCCATCTACTGCCGAGGAGGATTTACCTGATGTCAGACTTTTTTGTCTCAAGTATCAGCGGCTGGTATCAGCAGCGTCCACGAGTACCCGATACCTCAGAATAATGCTAGTATCAGCCCGATACCAAGAACTGGTATTCCTCTGGCTGCGTTCCATGATAAGCTTTTTTTTTTTTTTTTTTTTTTTTACATACCTAAAAATGTGTACATCCATCCACAAAAATTTGAAAACTCATTGAGCGCATGCAACTGGTTGCAGGCCAGATGAACGCCGGTTTTGCGCCGGTGGGTGGCGTTCGACTGAGTGTCCTTGAACCCTTGAAGGGGAAAGACAAACAGCCCTTTTACAGCCTGTGCGAGTTTATCTCATACTGTGCGTGAAGTCAAAATCTCCCCAAACGGCACAGCAACCCTGACGACCTCAAAGAAGTGTTAGCCTGCCTACACTGTGAGGTCACAATGACACATTTTCAGGATCAGGATGAACAGTTGCACAGACACGTTAATTTTGTCAAATTACATAAAAAATATATATATATTGTGTTTCGGTTTTGATCAAATGTGGTATGGATGTTTTTTTTTTAATGCTAAAATTTAGAACACTGATTCATTTTTGCATACATTTTGTGTACATTTAAATAATGTTAAAATTGCATCTCTTTTTTTGCTCAAATTTGGTATTTCTTGTATTATGCTGTATAGACAAACATAGGGTAGTCTATTTTTTAAATGCACAAATGTAGTATGAAGGCATATTTGGTTTCCAATTATTTATGTGCAATTGTAAATAGATTTAATCTTGTCACATTGAATAATTTAGGTTAATCTGGTTGATGTATTTTTGTGTGAATTTTTTTGGGGAAATATTCTATATTAATCATTTCTAAATTTTGTGTAAATATTGTATAAATCTTTGGAAAAATTAGTGTAAATTTAGAAAAGCTACAATTTAGTCAGAATTTTATTTTTGTGCTAAAATTAATGTCGTTTTAAAAACAATATATACAGTAATGAATGTAATTTTTGTGCCATTATTTTATAGATTTTTAAAAAACCAAAAGTAAACAAAAATATGCATTGGGGGTTTTTTTTTTCTCTCTCAAATTCAGCATCAATGTAGCTTTTTTTTTTTCAAATTAAAGAGAAATGTTTTTTTTTTCCTTATTTGTTTTTTGCCCGGATTAAAATTATGATATGGTACATTTGATTATGCCCAAGAGCAGAGAGCGGGTTCTCTCTCAAAACAGATGGATGGCCACTGACAAATTTCAAGTTTGATGAATATGATGCACTGTATCGTGTCATTAACCCCTGCCTAGAGTCAATGTGAGTGTTTGCCATAGAGTAGTTTAATGTTTGAAAATGATGTTTCAGGCAACACAAAGGTCGCCGCGCTTTTATCGTTCTGCTCCCCCCGTCCCTGCGAAGGGCCCACTGGCACAACTCAGTGCGTCAATCAGCACGTTGGACTTTCAACGAGATCGAGTCGCACTCATAAAGCCGCCTGCACGTCACCCATTCATGTACTTTAACACAAACATAAGAAGCGAAGAAGTGCTTCTGCGTAGGATGTTTTCACATCAAAGATGATCATTTTCTCTTCATTGCTAGACCAAGTCTGTCGGTCGAAAAATTCTCTTAATGGCTCCCTATTGGGGCCATATTTGATCATTTTGTAGTTCAAGATGGCAGAAGAACCATGTGACCTCTCCTAGCCAATCAGGAATAAAAGGTCATAATTATTGTCCAATGATTTTTTTTTCCCCTCGTCTTTTTACCAAGACGGCATCAATACAAATATGTCGACAAAATATATGAGCCACTGACCTCGAGACACTCCTCCAACACCTCTGTGTCTTTAGACAAAAAAATTATTATTTCATGGATCAAATGACTTTATTTTTTTGGGGGGCGTGGGGGGTAGCTGGGGGTTTTCGTTTAAAAAAATATATGTCAAACTATAAAATAGATACAAATATTCACATGTTGTAAACCATTCATCCATTTTCCGATCCGCAAGGGTGGCGGGGGGTGCTGGAGCCTATCCCAGCCGTCTTCAGGCAGTAGGCAGGGGACACCCTGAACCGGTTGCCAGCCAATCGCAGGGCACACAAAGACAAACAACCATGTACGAGGAAATGACTCTTCCTCGTGTCGCGTTCATTGTGAGCAGACGTGTTTGTTGTGATTTACGCAAATCTGACTGTTTTTATGTTATTTCTGCATAGTGTATTAGCCCCTAATCATGGGCTAATAAAATAGTTTCGGATTTCGAACAAATCGCTTTTCGAACAGCCTTCTGGAACGGATTGTGGTCAAAAACCGAGATATGACTGTATTCGGTTTGATTCTATGCACTCGCATCTTTTAAATAAAAATTGTTTTTCAGATTCAAATCAGGTTGTTAAACTTCTAATATATATACAGTACGTACACACATAAAACTGAACGGTATCATCATTGTGCACCGCATACTGAAGAGTGCAAGTGTACCCCAAATCTGACTGTTTTTATGTTATTTCTGCATAGTGTATTAGCCCCTAATCATGGGCTAATAAAATAGTTTCGGATTTCGAACAAATCGCTTTTCGAACAGCCTTCTGGAACGGATTGTGGTCAAAAACCGAGATATGACTGTATTCGGTTTGATTCTATGCACTCGCATCTTTTAAATAAAAATTGTTTTTCAGATTCAAATCAGGTTGTTAAACCTGTAATATATATACAGTACGTACACACATAAAACTGAACAGTATCATCATTGTGCACCACATACTGAAGAGTGCAGGTGTACCTAATAGTGTGTCCGGCGAAGGTATCAGCAATGCAGTATGTATTGGAAATGTAGAACAGTCAGTAGATAGCACTTATCTTTAACCAGAACCAGAAAGAGCTTGTCAGGAAAAAGAAAAATAACCTCATTCGTAGTCAGTCATTAACAAATAGCCCAGGAACAACTTGTGTAGTCCTGAGGGGTGTTTTTTTTTTGTGTTTGTTTTGTTTTTTTTTCCTCCCAATCATAATCCAAGACAAATAAGAGGCGGATCACCTGTTACACTTTCAACGAGTTGTGTCTGGTTTCATCTGGTTCCTGTCCGGGCAGGGAATAAGTGCTCAAAGTCAGAACATTTACGAAAGATCCATTTACAATGCATGTTAAAAGTCTACACACCCATGTTAGAATTTTTGTGGTATAATCAAGAAGGAGACCAACAAAATCAATTCGAAACGTTTTCCATTTTTTTGTGGTATAATCAAGAAGGAGACCAACAAAATCAATTCTAAACGTTTTCCATCATTAAGGTGACCTATAATCCGTACAACTAAAAAAAAAAAGTTTTTATGTGAGCATCCACTTGTTTTTCTTGAATATATCTTAAAGAGGAGGATATGGGATGTGATGATGAGGAAATGGTCCAGAATGTATTGAGAGCAGAACAGAGCCTTGGGCTGTGCAGAGATGGAAGCAGGCGTTGAGAAAAACAGGTGAATGTCCCCTTGTAACTCAGTTACTGCCTTCATGTAATTTAATGTATGCTGTACTCCACTGCAAAGGGCTTTCAGGAATTCCATTCTGACCTTATTTGAGACATGTTACAATCATGGTCAACATCTAAATACAGGCAACCTTTTGTTTTTGGGCTTCTATTTTTATATCCAGAGATGAAAGTGGACTTTCCTGAAAATTCCGGGAAATATATATATATATATATATATATATATATATATAAATAAAACTTTAAACAATTATTTGGGTTGTAGTCACAAACAGCCCACTAGAACATCTGAACTGGATGTGGGGTTAATGAAAGGCATTTTAAATGGGTGCAGATGTGCGATCATTTGTTGACATCACAAAAAAAACATTTGAACAGGTGTGCATAGACTTTTTAGATCAAATCTAAGTATCTTTTCACTTCACTCCATTTCTGAATTTTCATCCTCACCGGTGGAAATGTACACCGTAAAAATCTTGCTTGCTCTCCACACGGCATCTCGCAGCCCACGAGGGGTTAACGTGCTATGACCACAAGCATTTTTTTTTCCCTCTTTTTTTTTTAAACTCCCTTTTTGATGTTGTTTGACTTTGATACTCTTTACAATTAACCGGTTATTATTAGAGGGTTGCAATGATCAGAAAGCTAGGAGTGCAGTTCCATAGTACTGCAAACCACAATACAATATATTGTTACAATAATCCTAATCATGAAAATATGCTCTGTCATTATGCTCTCAAAAATTATGTGAATATCAATCATCACAAAGACGGCAATTTCACCTCAACATGAATAATATAGTCCAACTATAATCTATTGAAAAATCATAAATCAACATTTTTACATTTTTTTAAATTTGTTTACATGACGCACGCGTGTGTGTGTGTGTGCGTGTGTGTGTGTGTGAATGTGCGTGTGTGTGTTGGTCCATGTATCTATATAAAGGAACATGTGGGCTCGGATGTGGAGTTTAGTAGCTCAGAACTTGTGTTGGCTGCCTCGCTCTCCGTAGAAAAAAAAAGACAACAAGCAGCAGCGGGAATATAAACTTATCAAAAGACCAGGACTGCTCGCCTGTGGAAACTGAGGAAATCCTTTCACAAGCCCCCCCTTACCCCTCCCAAGCCGACATACACACTGCCTGAAGCTGCCCCCCTCGTAAGCCTTAAAAAAAAGAAAAAAAAAACCCCAGCAAAATGGGTGATCTGCCGGAGGACGGCTCGTTTATGTTCACGTCAGAGTCTGTGGGAGAGGGACATCCAGGTGAGCTTCGCATTTCACACGGCATGCTACAACGTTTTTGGACTTTATTTTTAAAACTTTGTAATTACTCCCGTGGTCGGCATGCTCGGCATCCCATTCATAGCACATGTGTTTGAGACTCACTCGGATGGACCGCATTACTGGGGGGTGTTGGGAGGGGGGGGGGGTAGTGTGTAAGGTTGCATGAGCAACTTCTAAAAAGATGGTTTTGAGGAGGGCCAGGCTGATTACAATTTCATTATTTTTGCAGATTTTACAACATAAGACGAAGATAGTGACAGTCAAACATACACAACCACCCCCCAAAAAATCTGCAGAAATAACAAAAAATGCAACCAATAATTGCAAGTGGGGAGTGTGTGTGTGAGTTTGTGGGGGGGGGGGGGGG